GCTGTGCTGTTTTGACGCCGCGCTGTTTTGGCGCGTGCTCTTCTGTCGCTGTGCCGTGTTGACGCTGTGCTGTTTTTTCACGTGCTATTTTTTCGCCGTGCTGTTTTGGCGCTGTGCTGTTTTAACGCGTGCTATTTTGACCATGCTGTTTTGTCGCGTGCTGTTTTGTCGTGTGCTGTTCTGTCGCGTTCCCGCTACCACCATACCGCGATTTTGCCGTAGCCGGTCCATTTGTCGGGGTGAAAACCACTACTATATAGCGTCACAAAAAGCCGAAGAAGCGTTCAGCGAGGCTTATTGACTAGGGCTCGTGTTTTCGGAGTCTATTTCTAGTGAAATTCGGAGGGTGCTTTTTGGAGTATATTTTTTTGCCGAAAATTCGAATCTTATCAGTTTGTTTTTGTTTCATTCTCCATTCTCCAATATTCTGAGTTTAATTTCCCCGTTTACTATTAAAAATAAATAAATAAATAAATAAGTAAATAAATAAATAAATGAATAAATAAATACTATCCGGGTGTAAACTTGCGCTAGACCAAGAAAAATTAATAAAACGCGCTTGTCTCAAGTAATTTTTTTTTGAGCTGGATTTGGTCATCGTTATAGGAAATAACAATTTTTCCCACGACAAACGTTGCACGCAAGTGTTGCTTCGATAGACGTCGATACTTTAAGACTAATAAACTCCCGGAGGTAGTCGCTGGAAAGCTGGTATTCCTCCCATCGTATACCATCAACGGGTCTAGGCCCACTCGTCGAAAGTTTACTCGTCGACGGCCAACTCGTCGGCGGCCCACTCGTCGAATACGCCAATTCGTCATAGGGCAACTCGTCGAAGGAAAACTCGTTGAAGAGGCCAACTGGTAGCCGCTGTTTCGAAGCCGTAATATATATACATTTTTTTTTCCTGGAATATTAAAACAAATCCTGCCCTATAGTAATGCGTACTATCGCCGCACAGTAATAGGCCTTCAGTGTGCTCTTTCTTGTCAAAGATGACAACTTGCAGCTTTCTTCGCTATCACGGTGCAGTGGGGGACGAACACTTCATCGTGCGTGTATCACTGGGGTGCGTGTTAACCAATTCGGCGCACCCATTCACGCCGCTTCGCGGCGTCAGCCTGCGGCAGCTCATAATAAAAACGCTAACCCACCTGGCCCACCAGTCACGCAGCTTCGCTTCGACCGTCTGCGATGGCTCATTACTATAAGTAATGAAGAAAACAAACAAAAGGAGGATCCCGAAATGAACATTTCTCGACTTGTCTCAACGTACTTCTCAATGTTTTCGCAATCTTGCAACTTTCTTTCCGCCTTGTAATCTATGAAAGGCGCTGTCCCTAGTCCAAACAGAAATAAAAATTTAGGTCAAAATACAACAAGGGATTACGAACTTCTACCTCGGACCTTCATTCAACACATTCGACAAGTCGCCCTTCGACAGATTGCCCCATTCGACAAGTCGACCTTCAACGAATTGCCCTATTACGAATTGGCCTATTCGACGAATGGGCCGTCGACCAGTTGGCCGTCGACCAGTTGGCCGTCGACCAGTTGGCCGTCGACCAGTTGGCCGTCGACCAGTTGGCCGTCGACCAGTTGGCCGTCGACCAGTTGGCCGTCGACCAGTTGGCCGTCGACCAGTTGGCCGTCGACAAGTTGGCCGTCGACGAGTTGGCTTTCGACGAGTTGGCCGGATCCCACCATCATACCCCACGCAGGGTCCATAACTTTCACTGTTACAGGAACATAACCTTCCCCTTTTTTCTAGAGCACAAATTGTACGGCCCAGACTGGAAACCGAAAGGCTGGCTTTTGTCGCGACCCGAAAGTAAGATGACCTGCTTATCTTGTCAAGAATGAACGTTGACAAGATAAGCGGTAAGACCTAATTTGGCAATGGTCCGAGATTGGAAAGATAATTATGGTGGCATTTTCTCATGATCATTCATCGTGTGCGATGATGAAATTGGGAAATGCCGCCTTTATCTTCTTTTTTCCTTTGGGGGGGGGGGGGGGGGGGGAGGCCGTTTAGGAGTTTATCGAGCTCCGGGAGTTTATCAATTTGACCAAAAATTCACCGGTGGGTGTTCTTCTGAGTTCTTCGGATTTACCCGAAAACACTTGGCCCTGCTTATGAAGTATGTTCACACTCCTTGCTTCTGAATTGGTCCTTCGGCAGTCCAGCGGGGTGCTCTGAGCACGATGTAACCGGCATTTTTGCTTCTGGATATCCCGATCGCCCATGCCAGCCAAGAAGGGATCTGCCGTCGTACGGCTGCATCGTCATCTGCAAGACAAGGCAGAAGATAAAACTACCAAGAAGGGCGGCGGCGGCAGCGCATGTGCATCCACAGTCCGGCTCCCGTGGGCAAGGCTACAAAAGCGTCGATCGCTGAGGAACAAACTGCAGTCGAGCGGGGTGCTCCGAGCACGATGTAACCGTCATTTTTGCTTCTAGGTGAGATCTCATTATTTTACCGCTGGACTGCTTCTGTTTTGTATTGTTGGCCTCCTGATAGGCATGATGGACGAATGTATTTTTTGTTTTAATCTGCTGTCGAAAGATAGCATAAACTTAAAATGCTCTGTGTGCGAGCACAGGTATCACGTGGGGAAATGCTCGGGTGTGACTAAAAACGCTTTAAAAAACATGACAACTGAAACGCTCGAATCCTGGGTATGCTCGACGTGTAAGGTGCACGAAGACAGGCAGTCTGGTATATAGACCAGTGTCCGATATCCTAGCTCCCAGCGATAAAAATGGGAAATAATAATCTCGAACGCAGGCTCTTGTAAAGAGGGGAGGCTGCGCATAAAACAATATTTTTGCTTTTTACGACACTCTTGGCGTCGGTGCGGTTCTTGGAGCTTCGTGACTGTGCATTTCTTACGTTCTTGCACTATACTTCGTTTCACCTTATGTCCGAGCGCGGACATCATCATCGGATATCAGCCGGCGGGCCAATCAAACAGCGCAAAAAGCGCAACGTCATGGTGTGCTCTCTGCACTTGATAGGTCTAGCCGGCAGAGGAGCACGCACAGAGGGTCGGCGAATACCGGCTATTCCTATCAACTGCAGAGAGCACACCATGACGTTGTGCCTTTTTCGCTGTTTGATTGGCCCTTCGGCTCATAATATCGGCCGCGCTCGGACCTAGGCTGAAACGAAATATACGATATGGGCAAAGGTTTCTAAAAGAAACTGAGCCTTTCAAAAAACGCAGCCCCCCTTCTGTGTCATGACGTCAGCATAAACGAACATGGCGGCGCCCATGGAACAGAGCAGACACTGGTCTATAAGGGAATGAAAATTTTGTTATGCCCCCATTGCTGGGGGAGCCTGAACCAGTGGGCGTAGCAGCTGAAATAGCTGAAATGAACAAAAAACTAACGAGCGTATCAGAGAAGGTCACGAAACTAGAAACAGCACTAAAGAAGTATGACGAGCTACTCAAAAGATCTGAGCACCAGGAGAAGGAGATTGCTGAGTTGACAGCAAAAACCACTCAGCTTGAAGTCATTATGTCGGAACAAACCTGCGAGATTACTAACTTGAAGGTTGTTATTAACAGAACTGAGCAATACTCCCGGCGCAAGAACATTGAGATTCATAGAGTAAGACAACCAGAAACGAGAATGTTCTGGATTTAGCGAAGAGTCTCTCAGGAAAACTAGAACTGCCACCAATAACATAACAATCAGTGGAGGCTGTTCACATATTGTCACAGAAGTAGTGGCATCCTGTAATTTATTTTTATTACGTTATTTAAATATAACGCGTTTTCGTTTCCGTACACATATTTCTCCTTGTAGCCTGTATGTTTCTCCGTCGCTGGTTCGGTTGCTGCAAAGGCACGTGTACGTGCGCGTTGTTTTTGTTCTGTTAGTTTCTTCCTAGTTAGCTCAACCTCTCGCGGTTCGCGAGCGGGGGTGTACGTGATTCATGTCTTGTGTCTTTCTTCCTTTTTCCAACCTCAAAGTCACCCTCACTGCGCCCAAAGTCTTGAGCTCCATTTGTGTATTGGTAAACTTTTCTCGCCTGCAAGGTCACCCTTAGCAGGACAGAAGTTGTTGGCGTAGGGGCCTCCTGTTTTAGCTATGTCTTACTTTTTCCAACTTCAACATGGCGGCCATGCAGTGTCAAAGGTGCCGTGTCTACGTGGTCCTCCCTTTTTGTATGAACTACTTTGAGTGCTTTCGGTGTTGTGCTGCTTCGACTCGGACCCCGTGCGTGAACAAGCGTCCGCGAGTGCCTCGGCCGTGAGCGCCCGACGCCGTTAAAAAGAGGGCGACTGGACCCCAGCACCAGTCCGCTCTTCGGGGGGAAAGCCGCCGCCGCGTACTCCCGGGAACCCGAGCCGCCGCACCGCATCTCCGAGACCGACCACCCGCTGCCCCGGAAGGACCGCCGCTTCGGGGGCCGCTCTACGTGTGTCGTCTCTGTGGATGGACTGCCGCCGTGCTCCCCGGTCAACTGTATGTTGCTCCCATTTAGAACATTCCTTTCGACCGTCGCTAATTGGACCCTTACTTTCGTCTTGATCTTTGTACACGCGTACTTAACTGGATGTGTAACGTACTTCTCTGTGCTTAACTCGACACGTTTGTCGCTCGTAGCATCACTGTCTTGTAAAATGTACGTTCTGTTACTTTAAATTCCCTTTCTATGTTCGTTTCGAGCCTATAAACACTGTTTCGTTGTTGTTACCTTATAACACGCCTCCGTCTCATTCTCTGCGTTTGCTTACCGGCTACGCCGGGCATCGAACGACCACCCCTTATTGTCATGTCTCGGTGATGACCTTTCGTCGTCGCCGGGCTTGTGACAATTAACTGGCGTCCGCGACAGGACGTTCGATGCGAAGGAAACGCGGTGACTGGAGAGGGAGACGAGTTCTGGAAATGTGCCGCGTTATTTGAGGCGTACGATGCATGAACGGGATTTCCTTTTGTGAGCGCCTGTTTGGGTTGTTGAAAGTGTTTCGGAGATAGAAGCATGGAAATGGAAAAGTTGCTAGCGATGGGTGGTCAGCTTGGCCTGGCGGGCGCTCAGCTCCGAAAATGGGTAGAAGATAAACAGCGAGAGGATCGAGCGTTTGCACGGCAGACAGCGGAGGATGAGCGCACAGCCGCGAAGGAGGCTGACGAGCGTCAGATTCAGCTTATGCGCCTGAAAATAGAGTGTCAGCAGCTGGAGAAGGAGACCAGAGAAAAGGAAGGGAGCCGGGGAAAAGACGCGGAGCCAAGCTTGAAACTGAACACAAGCAAGCTTCTCATCTTGTTCGATGACCGCAAGGATGACCTAGACGCGTATATTAGACGATTTGAGAGCCTTGCGGAAAGCCAGAAGTGGCCAGAGAGCCAGTGGTCTACAGCTCTAGCAACATGTCTGAGCGGGGAAGCACCCAGTGTTTACGGGCGGTTGCCGCCGGGTGATGCAGCGAATTACTCCAAGGTAAAGACAGCCCTTTTCAAGCGGTTTCGTTCCACGGCGGACGGTTTTCGGGACAAATTCGATTAAGGCAAACCGGCGGATGGTGAGACCGCAGCTCAGTTCTCGGCGCGTCTCAGCCACTATTTCGATCGCTGGATCGAGCTGTCCGATACGAAACACGAGTTCAAAGACCTCCGAGAGCTCCTGATTAAGGAAAGGTTCCTACACGGGTGTCATTCCAACATGGCGCTCTATCTGAAGGAAAGGAAGGCGAAATCGTTGGGAGAGATGCTGGATCTAGCCGACCAGTTTTTAGAAGCGCAGGGAAGCCTTAACCTCGCCAAAGTAAAGAAGGATAACCGAGATGATATCGGGAGGCCCGAAACTGCCGAGAAAAGAAGCAGTCAACGAAATGCGCCTCGTTGTTATCTTTGCAACCGCGCTGGGCATCAGGCTTCACACTGCCGGGCCCACACCACTAACAACCACAGCCTTACCTGCTTCAAGTGCGGGCGAAAGGGCCACAAGGCCGACGCGTGCCGGTCGGGAACAAACGATAGGCCTCAGGCATCGTGCGTTTACTCCCCCGTCGGGGTGACGAATCGGGAGGGCATTCGCGACGGCTACCTAGAGCTGAAGGATGGGGAAAGAATCCCCGTCGTGAATGCAGTCATGATAACACAGCCGAAGTTTCTAGTCGAAGGACTGCCGGTGGTCGCCGGAACGTATGAGGGCAAATCGATTTCGGTATTGCGAGACACCGGGTGCAATACGGCGATTATAAAACGAGAGCTCATCCGCGACGATCAGCTCACAGGAGAGACCCAGCCCGTTTATGTAGTCGACGGAACAGCTAGGATGCTGCCCGAAGCGCGGGTGGAGATCGACACCCCGTACTATTCAGGGGACATCACGGCGCTCTGCATGGCGGAGCCGCTCTATGACCTAATCCTTGGAAATATAGAAGGCGCGAGGGCACCCGACGACCCAAAGGCGGCAGTGGAAGAACCCATCAGCAACGAGCCCGCTGATGAGGAAGCTGTAGCAGCAGTTGTAACGCGCTCGCAGATGAGGAACCAACCCCAAAGGTTCCAAACCCTCAAAGCCCCCGACGTCCCAGCACAGCCGCTAAACAGGGATTACGCGGATGAGCAGGAAGCGGACGAGTCGCTCAGGCCGTGCTTCTCTCAGATTGGCAAGAAACTGACGTGCAGGGATTCCGAAGGAAATATCGAATTCCACCGGGAGGGTAGGCTACTGTACCGCAGCTATACACCGAGAAAACCGGACACGTGGTGCGTCAGCTGGTCGTCCAGGTGCCATCGAGAAGCGGTATTGAAAACTGCACATGACGGAATAATGGCTGGTCATTTGGGCGTGCAAAAGACGAAGGACCGAATTTTGGAGGAATTTTTCTGGCCGGGCATCACCGCAGACGTGAAGAGATTTGTCGCATCATGTGACATCTTCCAGAGAAGGATCCCAAAGGGCAGAGTAACCCGTGTGCCGCTGGGGAAGGCGCCGCTCATTGAAACCCCATTCAAAAGAGTGGCCATAGACATCGTGGGCCCAATCCAGCCCCCTTCCAAGCACGGAAATCGGTATATCCTGACCCTAATGGATTACGCGACCCGATACCCCGAGGCCGTGGCGCTGCCGAGTATTGAGACGGAGAGGGTCGCTGAGGCGCTAGTAGAAATTTTTTCTCGATTTGGCGTCCCGAACGAAGTCCTAAGCGACCGGGGCACCAATTTTACTTCTGACTTGATGAAGGAGGTTGCCCGACTTCTCTCCATACGCCAGCTGTATACAACGCCGTACCACCCTATGGCAAATGGGTTGGTCGAGAAATTCAATGTCACCCTGAAACTGATGTTAAAGAGAATGTGCGCCGAAAAACCGAGAGACTGGGACCGCTACCTGGCGCCGTTGCTCTTCGCGTACAGGGAGGTCCCCCAGGTAAGTTTGGGCTTCTCGCCCTTTGAGCTGTTGTATGGGCGGCATGTGAGGGGACCCCTGGCCATTTTGAAGGAACTGTGGACGAACCACCAACTCGACGAGGAGGAGAAGACTACCTATCACCACGTTTTCGACCTCCGAAATCGGCTGGAAGAGACATGCAAGCTAGCGCACGAGGAGCTCGCAAAGGCCGGAGCACGCTACTCAAAAATGTACAACCGGAAAACTAAAGAAAGGTTATTCCAACCAGGAAACAAAGTGCTGATTCTGCTGCCTACCGATAACAACAAGCTACTGCTTCAGTGGAAAGGGCCTTTCGAGGTCAAGGAGAAGAAGGGAGAGGCCGACTACATCATCGAGACAGCAGGGGGGAGAAAGATTTTTCATGCTAACATGCTGAAAAAATACGAAGAGCGGGAAAGCCAACCGGTGGAAAGGGTGTGCCAGGCGATCTGCGGCGTCACAGACACGGACAGCGATGGAGCCATTCCTGTTCCAGCGTTTCGGCAATCCGAGGACGAGCGAGATGTAAGGCTTTCTGATTGTTTGGGGGTGGATCAGCAGAAACAGCTCCGAGATGTGATTTCAGAACACTCGTGCATTTTCTCCGACGTCCCGGGCAAGACGGACTGGGCCGATTGCCGGTTGGAGCTCACTACCGACACTCCGGTCCACGTGAGGCAGTATCCGCTTCCATTTGCGACGAGAGAGAACGTGGAGAGAGAGGTGCAGGAGGTGGAGCGACTCGGAATAATTGAGAAATCTCAGTCGCCCTACAACGCTCCAGTCCTTTTGGTCAAGAAACCGGACGGCACGAACCGCCTGTGCATTGATTTCCGGCGCCTGAACGACGTGTTGGTTGCCGATTCGGAGCCCATGCCCCGAGCTGACGCGGTCTTCGCTGCGGCTGGAGAGAAGAAATACTTCTCGAAAGTGGACTTCGTCAAAGGCTATTGGCAAATTCCATTGAGCGAAGAGTCCAAGCCCAAGACCGCATTTTCAACCACGTCGGGACTCTTCCAATTCCGCTTCATGCCATTCGGCATAAAGACAGCCCCCGCCGTGTTTTCGAAACTGATGCACCGAGTTGTGGAGGGAATTCCGGGAGTGCAGCACTACTACGATGATGTCCTAGTTGCCAGTGCTACGTGGGAGGAGCATCTCACTTCTCTGAGCCGGCTGTTTGCAAGAATCGAGACAGCCGGACTAACAGTGCGACCAGGCAAATGTGCATTTGGAAGGGAAAACATCGAGTTCTTGGGGCATCGCATTGGCGGCGGTGAACTGGCACCACTCGGGAAAACACTCGACAGGATCCAAGCGGCGCCAGCCCCGCGAACAAAGCGACAGGTACGAGCATTTCTCGGCTTGACTGGGTATTACCGCGCCTTCATTCCCGACTACGCCAAAATCAGCGAGCCACTCACCCAGCTCACGAAAAAGGGCGGCAACAACGTCGTTAGATGGACGTCGGCCCATCAAGAAGCCTTCGAGGAGCTCAAACGCCGCGTCTCAAGCCCTCCAATACTGCGACTCCCAGACGTTTCCAATCAGTTTGTGCTGCGCACGGATGCCTCAGATACCAGCCTTGGAGCGGTACTAATGCAGCGGCATGACGGCACGCTCCACCCCGTCGCATATGCTAGCAGAAAGCTGCTCCACAGGGAAGCAGCATACAGCACCATCGAGAGAGAGTGCTTAGCACTAGTTTGGGGGGTGCAAAAGTTCGCCAGCTACCTATACGGCGTGCATTTCTTAGTGCAGACGGACCACCAACCGCTGAGCTACATCCAAGAAGCGAGGCAGCTAAACAGCCGAGTCCTCCGTTGGAGCTTGCTGCTCCAAGAGTATCAGTTTAGCGTCGAGCATATCAAAGGCAAGGAAAACATGGGAGCTGATTATCTCAGCAGGTTGTAGACTGGTCGCGTTTTATTGGCCTGCACTGTTTTGACATCTAAATATGTTATTACATGTGTACTTTGATTTGACTTGTGTGCTTGTCTGGGCAAGGGTTATGTGGTGCATTCTTATTAGTACACAGGCCTGCGCGCCAACTTCAGTGGGTCTAGAATATTATGTGATAATATTCCGAAAGTGGGGGGCCGTGTCACAGAAGTAGTGGCATCCTGTAATTTATTTTTATTACGTTATTTAAATATAACGCGTTTTCGTTTCCGTACACATATTTCTCCTTGTAGCCTGTATGTTTCTCCGTCGCTGGTTCGGTTGCTGCAAAGGCACGTGTACGTGCGCGTTGTTTTTGTTCTGTTAGTTTCTTCCTAGTTAGCTCAACCTCTCGCGGTTCGCGAGCGGGGGTGTACGTGATTCATGTTTTGCGTCTTTCTTCCTTTTTCCAACCCCAAAGTGACCCTCACTGCGCCCAAAGTCTTGAGCTCCATTTGTGTATTGGTAAACTTTTCTCGCCTGCAAGGTCACCCTTAGCAGGACAGAAGTTGTTGGCGTAGGGGCCTCCTGTTTTAGCTATGTCTTACTTTTTCCAACTTCAACATGGCGGCCATGCAGTGTCAAAGGTGCCGTGTCTACGTGGTCCTCCCTTTTTGTATGAACTACTTTGAGTGCTTTCGGTGTTGTGCTGCTTCGACTCGGACCCCGTGCGTGAACAAGCGTCCGCGAGTGCCTCGGCCGTGAGCGCCCGACGCCGTTAAAAAGAGGGCGACTGGACCCCAGCACCAGTCCGCTCTTCGGGGGGAAAGCCGCCGCCGCGTACTCCCGGGAACCCGAGCCGCCGCACCGCATCTCCGAGACCGACCACCCGCTGCCCCGGAAGGACCGCCGCTTCGAGGGCCGCTCTACGTGTGTCGTCTCTGTGGATGGACCGCCGCCGTGCTCCCCGGTCAACTGTATGTTGCTCCCATTTAGAACATTCCTTTCGACCGTCGCTAATTGGACTCTTACTTTCGTGTTGATCTTTGTACACGCGTACTTAACTGGATGTGTAACGTACTTCTCTGTGCTTAACTCGACACGTTTGTCGCTCGTAGCATCACTGTCTTGTAAAATGTACGTTCTGTTACTTTAAATTCCCTTTCTATGTTCGTTTCGAGCCTATAAACAGTGTTTCGTTGTTGTTAACTTATAACACGCCTCCGTCTCATTCTCTGCGTTTGCTTACCGGCTACGCCGGCATCGAACGACCACCCCCTTATTGTCATGTCTCGGTGATGACCTTTCGTCGTCGCCGGGCTTGTGACACATATTAACAACGCGAGAAGGGAGAGTGTCTCCGATACTCTAAGATTCACGGAAAGGAACACACAAGACCTATGGATGAAAAAACGAGTGGAATGAAAAAGAGGCGGTGTATACGTAAACGAAAATCTAACTACGAAGAACCTCTTATGGGTTACAAAGAACAAGGCCAGAGATAAGGAATACAAGTTTATCTGGGGGAAGAATGGGCAGATCATTGTCAGTCAAAAAGAAGGCGCTGCGGTGATCCGGATTGAAAGTGAAGCAGATTTGAACAAATTGAGGTAAATGAGTGAAGATATCGGAGACATAGGTTTTTTTAACAGTTTTGTTCGCTGGGACGAGTACCCCAGGCGTGTGATGAAAGAAAAAAACAAACAAACAAGTACGAAACATAATTCACATTAACGTAAGGAGCATTAAAAAAAACTGGGATCAACCTAATGTGTACCTGGAAAGAAGATTTAACAGTCTCGACATTTTAGTTATAACTGAAACTCATCTAAAAACAGCAGATGAATGTGTTTATCAGTTGCCGGGTTTCCACTCGGTATTAGTATGCAGAAAAAATGAAAAGGGAGGAGGGATACTTATCTATATAAAAAAGGATTGGATAGCAGAGCAAGTTGAAGTATCATTAGACCACGCTGAGACTATAGTTATGTTTGTGAGCGAAAATGAGTTTTCATTTCTTGTTGTGGCCTTATACAGACCGCCCAGTGCGGATGTGACTTTGTTTTACAATGAGTTCGAAAATTTACTAAAAAGATATAACAACAATGGCCAAGTAATAATCACAGGTGATCTGAACATTGATGTTATAACCGCAGCGAGTACAAAGTTGGCGACTATCTTGATCTATTGTCCAGTTATGGTTTACAGAATGTGATACGTGACTACACCAGAGAAGACTACTTAGGAAACAAAGTAACTAGAACCCGTATAGATCATGCTATTATCAGATTTAGTGATCTGACAACGATATCTGGGGTTATAAAACAGAAAGTCGCTGATCATTATTTCATAACCATAAAAGTGTTGAGTACCGAAACCATATACAATCGTGATGGAGATTGTTTTAGATATGCCTTAGATTAAAAATTATAGAACGCCTTATTCGTGAATATGACTGGGACTCATTACTCGAACAAGACCACGTTGCAATTTACGAACTGATGGTGGATAGATTTGGACACATACACACTGATTCCAAAAGGAAAATAAAATTAAGGCAACGGAAACCAGCAAGTAACTGGATAAATAAAGAAATACTAGAATTGTGTTGTGCAAAAGATAGATTGTGGAGTAGTTGCAAACAAAACCACAATTACGCAGGGAGTTTAGGGAAATCAGGAATAAAGTAACTGCGAAAATACGCCTAGCGAAGAGGAAATACCACAATAGCCAGTTCCAGCAGTCAAAAAAAAAAGGCAAAAAAAAAAAAAAAAAAAAAAACGTGGGACATAGTCAACAAAATCATTGGGAAAACCTCAAAAGACAGCGTTGATGAGGTCATACGGAAGCGTTTTGGAACAGACTTCGACCTTTTAAGCAATAAGTTTAATCACAGCTTTGTTGAGGAAATACAGGATCTGCGAAACCAAGCACCGAAAACCACACGTGCTCCGTATAGTGTCTCTAGTTCACCAAACTCTGTCTACTTGCCGCCCATGACTGAGCAAGACCTCAGCGATATAATAATAAAAAAATGCCATTCACTAAGCCAGAGGGATGTGATCGGATTAGAGTGAGAGATATATTCTATAACTTTGAAAAAGTAAAAAGTATTCTGCTTGCCATAATAAACGGTATTTTAGAAACAGGGAGAATTCCAGACATGCTTAAGGTGGCACTAGTCCGTCCAGTCTACAAAAATGGGTAATCAAAAGGTGATGTCCAACTACAGACCCATAGCTATTTTACCAGTTATATCACAAATTATATAAAAATATATAATTAAAATCACGCAATCATTTTGTGAAAACTTTTCCCTACTGAATACATGTCAGTATTGATTCCGACAGCAAAAAAAGTACAACTCTTTTACTAGAAGATTTTACTGACTATATTAACGAAAAAATAGAAAATAATTATATCACCTTAGCGCTTTTATTAGACCTAAAAAAACGTTTGATTCAATTGATGACGAGTTGTTATTAAGTAAATTAGAAAACATGGTCTTTAGAGGTCCCTTTCTTCAGTTTGTTAAGAATTACATGCACAACAGGGCACAACGAGTACGGATAGGAAGCAGTTTTAGTGAACATTTGCTCGTTACCTCTGGTGTACCTCAGGGATCGGTTTTACGTCCACTACTATTCAATATTTACATAAATGATTTAGACAAAATACTTCTCAAGTCTAAGCTATTTCAATACGTGGACGACACTGCGATTGTATTAGCACACAAAAACTACGATGACGCTGTTCCCACATTTCAAAGTGATATAAATAGTTTAGCAGACTGGTTTTCATGGAATACAATATTTGTGAATAAATCGTTTAATCGATAATGAATGTAATCGTGAATAATCGAACAATATGCACCTGCCACTTTTGCCATTAGTTCAAATGCGCAAATGTTATCAATTATATTATATGTAACAGTGTTTGTTATTTTTCACTCAACTTTGTGACTCTTTAAATGTTTTCTTCCGTAAACTTATTTTGATCTGAATTAGGTAATTGATGTTCATTTTTTTCGGTATCCTTAGAAGTACGTGCCGAGTGCTGTAATGGGTCAAAATTAACTGTTGGGCTAGTTGGCTACACATTGTGTAAAAATTCAAAAGCGCAAACACCAAGGAAAAGAAGAGGGGACAGGACAGAGCGCTTACTCCAACTGGAAGTTTAATGCATTCCCCGAGGAAGACATAAAAGAAGAATTAGGTATGTGAAGGTAAAAAAGAAGAAGAAGAAAATTATTGTTATAGTTTATAGACGCATTAAAAAAAAAAAATTTAAACTAAATCTTACCCCTTGACACTAGCGAAAAAATGTAATAAAAATTCAGAAATATAAACAAAATCAGTAGGGCAAAGATAAGGTTAGAAAACACTAAAATGACCCGCGTTAAGGAAAAAGGTCGAGGTATCTCATCTCTTTCTCGGACAGCGCTATTGATGTTCATCTAGGACGCAGCGGAAAGGCGAGTCTGTTACGCTCTTAGGCTGCGAGCCCCTTCCGGATAATATACGAGGTGTTCTTGAAAAAGGACCGAAATTTTGTACTGAGCCCCAACAGCAAGGAATACATATGGTGTCAAACGTCCATGATATCGCTTCTAAGCTCAGGAAGAAAACCGACAGAGTTGCGTTTCTGACTGTATGGAAATACTACTAAAAGCTGGCCCTCAAAGCGACAGGAAGATACATTTCACTCGTATAGTCAATCACTTTCGAGAAAGAAATTTAAATCTTCTAATTTCGGACAAGGAAGGGGGTTTTGTTGTGACGACCAGAGAGATTTACCTTGATAAAGCCCAGTTCTCCATAAACAAGAATTTTAATTGCTTGGAGAGGTTCAATCCAAAAAAAGTGAAGGCAAAAGCACTCCAGCTGTGCAGCAGGCTAGATCTAAGCCAATTGAGAAAACAGATAAACACTGCTAAAGGTGATCAATTGGAAATGTTTTTCACCGCCAAAACTCACAAAGAGGGCTGCCCTTTTCGTGTAATAGTAACTGAACGAGGATCTTGGCAGGGAGCT